AGAGCGGGACTCAGGCAATGCAGCCACCAATGGGTAGAGGCCCCTGGTGAGTGACACATCAGGGAGCGAAAGGCTATGGGGGCACGTGGAACATTTAGGCAAGAGGGACACGAAAACTCAAATATATATAAGGAGAGACTAGGAATAAGGTCCATTGTGGAAATAAATACAACAAGCTCTAAAGCCTTGGGCACTCAGTGTCAATTTGCTGTGGTGACCTCAGCAGGGTATAATGACACAGAGTCCACCATTTTCTCTGCGGAATTGATCTTTGCCACCTGAAGAGCAGTTGTAATTCTGAGTGATCTCCAGCTCTCACCTGGAGATTGGCAATGATCATCCCAAGGAGGAAATGGCTGGTTTGGAGGGTGGAGTCTATGGCATTGTACCTGTCAGTGGTCCCACCGTTCCACAAACCCCACCCTCTCTTGGCTCCACCCCTCAAATATCCAGGAATTTCCCAACCTGGAGTTGGCAACCTTCCCTCCTTCCCAGCTAACCATCAAGCTACCTTTATCTGCCCCTCTTACGTCAGTTTTCCATATCCTCCCCCCTCTCTGCAGCCTTTACCTAGGAAGAGTACAGTCTTTCTTCACAGTGGGGACCAAAGCAGCTCACATCATTCTCCTCTCCTACTTTTGATTTGCACAACAACCCTGTGAGGAAGATTGCTTCGAAACCTTCCTAACACATTATATTTTTTCAGTATACACTTATTCAGAGTTGAATACCTAAAAATTAGAAGTATGAATATGAAAAACTATTCCTTAATCCAGTGGAGAACAAGAACTGGCTGACTAATGTGTGAAACAGTCCATAAGCACTGGGGGGGGGGGGAATAAGGAGAGCCCTGCTATATCAGATCAATAGTCCATCTAGTCCAGCATCCTGTCTCACACAGTAGCCAAGCAGTTTCTCTGGATGGCCAACAACAGAGCATACAGGCCGAGGCCTTCCCCTGCTGTTGCCTTCTTGGCTCAGGGATTCAGAGGTTTAGTGCCTCTGAATGTGGAGGCTCTCCTCAGTCACCATGGCTAGTAGCCATTGATAGGCATCCTTCATGAATCTATCTAATCCTCTTTTAAAGCGGTTTATTCCTGTGGCCATCACTCTCTGTGTAAAGTAGTATTTCCTTTTGTCTGTCCTGAACCTACTGTCAATCAGCTGTACCCTCCAGATCTAGTATTTTGGAAGAAGGAGAAAAAGATATTCCCCCTTAGTCATCTCTTTCCCCCTCTTAGTCATCTGAAGAGTACCGGACTCTTCAGCCTTTCCGCATAGGTAAGGTGCTCCAGCCCCTAATCATCTTGGTTGCGCTCCTCTGCACTTTTTACAGCTCTGCAGTGTTGTTTTGGAGATAAGGTGATCAGAATTGTACACAGTATTCCAAATGTGGTTGCACCATAGATCTATACAGGGGCATTATCGGCCATTTTATTCTCAGTTCCTTTCCTAATAATCCCTAACATAGAGTTTGCCTTTTTCACCACTACAGCACACTGGGTTGATACTTTCATCGAGTTATCCACTATGACCCCAAGATTTTTTCCCCCTCTCAGACTCAGCAAGTTCAGACCCCGGTAGTTTATACTTGAAGTTGGGATTTTTTCTCCCAATGTCCATCACCTAACACTTACAAACACTGATCTTCATTTGCCACATTGTCACCCACTCACTCAGTTTGTGGAGATCCTCTTGGAGCTCTTCACAGTCAGCCTTGGTTTTCACCATCCTGAATACTTTGGTATCATTTTCAGACTTGACTACTACCAGCCAGTTTGGTGTAGTGGTTAAGTGCGCGGACTCTAATCTGGGAGAACCGGGTTTGATTCCCCACTCCTCCACTTGCACCTGCTGATGTGACCTTGGGTCAGTCACAAGCTCTGGCACAGCTGTCCTTGAAAAAGAGCAGTTTCTGTCAGAGCTCTCTCAGCTCCACCCACCTCACAGGGTGTCTGTTGTGGGGAGGGGAAGGGAAAGGAGTTTGTAAGCCGCTCTGAGACACCTTTGGGTAGTGAAGGGCGGGGTATAAATCCAATTTCCTCCTCCTCCTCCTACACTACTCTCCAGATCACTGATGAATAAATTAAACAGTACCAGCCCCAATACCAATCCTTGTGGGACCCCACAGCTTACTTCTCTCCATTGTGAGGTGTCCATTGATTCCTACTCTTTGCTTCCTGTCATTTGACCACTTTTTAATCCATAAGAGAACCCATCCTTTTATCCCATGTCTGCTACGTTTACTCTGGAGTCTTCGGTGAGGTACCTTGTCAAAAGCCTTTTGAAAGTCCAGGTATATAATGTGTATCGGGTCACTGTTGTCTACATGCTTATTCACTTTCTCCAAGAACTCCAAAATGTTGGTAAGGCAGGACTTCCCTTTGCAGAAGCCATGCTGATTTTCTCTCTATCGATTCTATCTTTGATTACAGTTTCTACTAATCTGCCTGGGATAGACGTTAGGTTGACTTGCCTGTAATTTTCTGGTTCCCCTTTAGATCCCTTTTAAAAATTGGTGTCACATTTGCTACTCTCCAGTCTTCTGGTACAGCAGCTGAATTTAGTAACAGATTACATATATGGGTTAGTAGATCAATGATCTCACATATGAGTTCCTTAAAGAACTCTCAGGTGTATGCCATCAGAACCTGGAGACTTAACGGTTTTTAATTTCCCCAGTAGGTCTAGAATTTCATATCTGGTCACCTCAATTAGGTTCAGTTCCTTGGACTCTCTTCCTGAAAATAGGTGCTGTGACATGGGTACATGCCCCACAGTGAATACAGAAGCAAAAAAGTTACTGAGCTTTTCTTCCATCTCCCCATCTTCCTTTAGCAATCTCTTGATTCCTTTGTCATCCAAAAGCCCCACTGCTTCTCTGGCTGGTTTCCTACTCCAGATATATTTTTTAACTGTTTGTTGTTTGTCTTGATGCTTTTAGCAACCCACTTCTCAAAATCTTTTTTTGCATGGCTAATTATTAACTTACATTTCTTTTGCCAGAGCCTATGGTCCCTCCTGTTCAATTCATTTGGGCAGACCTTTCACTTTTTAAAAAATGCTTCTTTTTATACCTTCCTTGACTTGCATTATTAACCACGCAGGCCTTCTTTTAGACTTGGCAGTGCCTTTCCTCACCTGTGGAATGCATTCTATTTGGGCTTCAATTAGTGTGGTTTTAAATAGCTTCCAAGCATCGTCTAGGGATTTGACTGTTTGTGTTTCCCCTTCAGCTTCCTTTTTACTATTCCTCTCGTTTTGTAAAGTTTCCTCTTTTGAAATCAAATGTTACCATTTTAGACTTTAGGAGTAACTTTCCATTGACCTGAATGCTGAACTTTATAGCATTGTGGTCACCAATTGGTGTAACAGCCTCTACATCTCTCACAAGGTCTTGAGACCCACTCAGAACCAAGTCCAAGATCACTACCTCTCCAATTGGCTCTGTGACCAACTGTTGCACTGCGCCGTCATTTGTGATATTTAGGAATCTCATTTCTACAGCATGACTCAAGCGCATGTTTACCCTGTCAATGTGAGGGAAGTTGAAGTATCCCAGTATAATAAGCATTTGCTTTAGTCACCTCCTTTATTTCCTTCTCCATCTCAAGCCTCAGGGGTTTGATCAGCTGGGTGACAGTACACCTCCACTTTTGTAACACTTAGGGCCCAGTATTTCCACCCATAGCTCTTTTGTTGGGGAGTCAATACCCCTGATGTTTTCTAAATAAAAATTAGGAAACTGATCCCACCAAAGTTAAGCATTTAAAGCTTCAGTAATATGCATACATACCTGGTAGTGAACACAGTGCGACTTATTTCTGAGTAAACATGCAAAAGATTGGTCTGTAAATCAAATGGACTTCAATGGAAGAATAAAGTGTGTAATTAACTCTCCTTCTGAAATCACTGGAACCTAAGCACACTTAACATTATGTGGATTTTGGTTTTGGTGTTATGCTAGACAAAAAAAATTGTGGCAGCTATAAGGCTGTTTTGTTTGCAAGTGCATTTACTGATATGAAAGCTGCAGATATAATGCTTTTTGAGGGCGTAGGAATTATTTTTATTTGATGTGTTATGGTTTAACAATGAATTATAAGCTGCCTAGAACCAGAAAGGGGGAGGTATGGTATAGATATTTAAATAAATGTACAAAAGACAAAGGTCTTAATCTTTTAAGAGTTTATAGTGATGTAACTACAATATGATACTGGGTGGATCCAGACAGCTTTTTTACTTGAACTCATCCAATCCCCCACCTTACTGCAGCCCCCATTCCACATGGGTTTTGTACTTGCAAGTCCTGTGGTTCTCTGTATAGCCTTTTGGAGTGGTCAGAGGGCCACCATTTGGGTGTCTCTTTCTTTTTTCACTTTCAGAAAAGCTGGTTGCATACTGCATACTGCAATGTTTTAGTCCAGTCTGCTTGTTCTTAATTAACTTGCATCTTTTGGAGGGACAATATGTCTCTGATCCTAAATTCTTTTTAAGTGTTGTTTTCCCATTCTCTTGTAGGTTTCGTCACAGTCCCAATTGCTTTTACTTGAGAGACTGGAGCATCCACTCCTGGATCAGGCAGTGCCTTAAATTTGGAGCACGGGACAAAGCCTTGTACACAATACAGAATAAGGTGATATTTTGATAAGACACTTCTCAGATGTTATTAGTATGAGGAATTTCAGACAGGCGATATATTCTGGAAGAGGAACGGTTCCCAAACGGTTTCTGGTCTGTCATTTCAGACAGAACCTGTTTGAGAACCGGTTCCCTTCCGGAATATATTTGCCATTTCATACACAAACGCTTCTGTCCCGTTTAGGAATCGGGACTGAAGCGTTTTACCTGTCAACCGCTTCCAAGTAGTCTTCAGTTCCCTCTCCCGGTTCCGATACGCTTTTCCCCCGCTGTTTTTCGCCCGCGCGGGTGATCTCTGGCTTTTTTTCAAACGTTCGCTTTATAGCGTTATAGTGCTATAACGGAATAGCATTATATCAATCCCATTGGAATGCATGGAGTGTTTTGTTATACTGCTATAGCGCCATAGCGCTCTAAAGCGAACGTTTTTTAAAAAAAACCGGAGATTGCCCGCACGGGCGAAAAATGGCGGGGGGAAAGCGGGAAAAAGCAGTGCAGTCTGAAATGGCAAACCGCTTCAGATCCGGCTCTTTACCGGAAGGGGAAAGCCCTGTGTGAAATGGCAGCCCTGTACCGGTTCACTTTAAAACGGATCATTACCAGCTTGAAACCGGGTGAAACTGGGTAATGTGAAACTCCTCTCTGTCTTTTAAAAATAACAGTGAGAATAACTGCATAAATAACGGCTCCTATGGCCATGCCTGGTTGGGAAATGGTACAGTGTACAAGGGGGAAGGCTTAATACCGCCCACCCCACCACCAAGAGTGCCCATGCTGCAATTAATAATTTTTAAAGAATTGCTGGCAGCTTCAGTCATGGAACTCCCAGCTTCTCATTTAGTTTGGTCCCTATACAACAGTTGCACATAATCTTTTCAACTCGAGTTAAGTGAACAAGAAGGGGGAGAATTAAAAAATCCTGAACATAATTGATTCATCAATGAAGTACTGTATTAACGTTGATAAATGATGTGTTCATAAAAATAATTAAATTCATTCAGAGGTTATCAAATGTGCTAAAGCCAGGAAGAGAGACAGGATAGATGACAAATACTTAAAATGACTAATTCATTCACAAAAACAATTATAAAGTAATATAAGGCTCTTGTGGGTAGGTAGCCCAGAGCACAATATCATCATCACAGCCAGAATTAAATTTGATTGGTGATAGGCTTGTTAATTTGGAAATATAAAAAGGCTGAGATAGGTAAGCATTAGACACCTCAGAAAAATTAATTATTAAATAATGCAGCTACAATATCCTAGAAAGTTGCATTGAACAACAATGTGTTCTCATGGATAATTCTTTCCGCAGTGCAGTTCTAGAATTCAGTGGGGTGCAGAAAGTTCACAGAAAACTCTTGTAGAAGATTAGTTATTTCCGAAATGCAGTTGTAAAGTGCAGAGGTAGCTCCTGTAGATAGGGTCTTAGGAAACTTACAAGAAGCAGTAAACATGTAGCTGATCACTCAGCAAATAAAAGTTCTTCAGCCAAGAGTCTCTGCTTAGCTCAGGTTTGAATCATTGGCTGTGATCAATATCAACAGCAGACAAAGAAAGGCTCATTCATGAGATGTTAAGTTAATCTTCACAACAGTTAGTATTTCTTTTGTTTCCAATAAAAAAAGAAAAATGCAGAAAACAAAAACACTTTGTATTTCTTATAGTAGTCGAAGAAGAGTTGGGGTTTTTTATACCCTGCTTTTCTCTACCATAAGGAGTCTCCAAGCAGCTTCCAATCTCTTCCCCTTTCCCTGCCCAGAGCAAGCACCTTGTGAGGTAGGTGGGGCTGAGAAAGTTCTGGGAGAACTGTGACTGACCAAAGGTCACCCAGTAGGCTTCATGTGGAGGAGTGGGGAATCAAACCCAGTTCTCCAGACTAGAGTCAGCTGCTCTTAACCACTATACCATGCTGGCTTTGTGTGTGACAGAAGACAGGGGAAGCCACAGGTCCATGTCCAAAACTGTGGCCCCCAGCCCATCCTTTTGTAGGGAAGGAGCAGATACTATCTCTGCAGCTGTGGTTTGCCTAGTCCCCTCTTCTCTTAATCTCAGGAAGGAAAGTTCACGGGCCACTTTGGTCACTCTCCAGCACACTCAGGATTGCTTTGGGGAGAGGGAAGAGGTTGGATCTTCATGACCCCTCTGTCCTTGCAACACTCTTGGAACCCAAACAGCAAATTTCTTTCTGTGGCTTCTCAGCTCACAATGGACTTGATTCAGCCAATCCTGAACATTAATCATCCCATTACTTTCAGCGAGGGAGCTAAACATATGCTTATGCTTTGGTCTCTCTCCAAGTGAAATAAGTGAAACCTGATGGAGTGAGCTCCCATCTCTAGTTCCAGCTCCTGCCAACCTAGCAGTTCGAAAGCAAGAAATTGCAAGTAGATAAATAGGTACCACTTCGGTGGGAAGGTAACAGCGTTCCGTGCACCTTGGTGTTTAGTCATGCCGGCCACATGACCATGGTAGCGTCTTCGGACAGCGCTGGCTCTTCGGCTTTGAAACGGAGATGAGCACCGCAACCCTAGAGTTGGATTCGACTGGCTTTTGAGCAAGGGAACCTTTACCTTTACCTTTAAAAGTGCATGACTCTGGCCAGGGCATGCCCAACAGTGTAATGCTAAGCCAAATTCTACCTTTCTAAGCTAATTTCTTCATTAAGAATATGATGCTGAGCAAGAAATGTGGGTACTTCATGTAAGGTGTTGGCTTCCTGACTTGGAACAGCTTTAAACAGGAATGGGCAACTGTTGCCTCCAGACCCCAGTTTCATATTCACAGAGAGATATGGGTTTTGCAACACATCTTGAGGTTTTCTTAGTCTGTGCTACATTAACTTAGATTTTGTTGTGGAAATGTATCATGGCTCATCCTTTAGAAATAGTGTGATGTTGGCACACACCCAGAGGGAAGTGAGTCATGTAGCTAAAATGCTCATATGCTTTAGGAAGTGATGCTAGGTGTTACCCTTCTTTCCACAATGTGCACAGCTTGGCAAAAATACTCTGACTGTCCGGTTCTACAGTCTGGCTCTCTCTCTCCAGTGCCCTGTACAGCATATTGCTTGCCTGCTGTGTTGAAGGCCTCAGCTGTGGAAAGGGGAAGGGGGTTTGAGATTCACTCCTTTCCACCAGCTGGCTTCTCCACTGCCTGGAGCCCAGATCAGTCTGTCTACTTGTAAAGGCCAGCCTAAAAAGGTGGGTCACCCACAGCTTCCTGGGTCTCACAGGAGGGTGGGCCATCTCCAAAAGCTGGAGGGCTGATTGCCCATCCTCATACTTCCCTCATATTTCCCTCCCTTGATCCATGTCTTTCTGCTGAGCCAGGTCTGTATTGCTGGCTCCTGGCCAAGTAGCTAGTGGGGTTCCCACCATGGCTGGAACAGTGTCATCCAATTCTGCCCTTCATTCATTCATTCATTCATTCATTCATTCATTCATTCATTCATTCATTCAAATTTATATTCTGCCCTCCCCGCGAACGGGCTCAGGGCAGATCACAACAACAGTTGGGCCATTCGGCCACACAACACAATAATAAAAAATCAGTTAAAACATTAAAACAAGCATTTAAAAACAAACTGGACTCCGGAATTTATTTAATCTGGGCCTCACACAGATGGTATCTTCACCAGGGGGAGGCAATCTTTTTCTTTTTCTGGACACCCACCAGCCCACCTCAATGGGAGTCAGGGGGGTATGCCCAGCACCCGACACTGACATTTTTAGGGTAAGCATGCAAAAAAACACATTGCTGAACAAGTTCACAGTATAATGAATAAACAATGAAGATACTGCTTTAATTGTTGTTTTGTTTCAACAGCTGAATAACATCAAGAGACCAAAGTCTCAGCACAAGCAGGACGAACTTTCCCAGGCTTGACTGTCCGTTTCGACTTTGCGTCTTTATCAAACGTCAGTTTGTAGTTGTTTGTCTTCAGTACATGGTTTTCAACAATATGTGCATAGTTTCAAAGGTGGCTACTTCAAGCTCTCACAATCAACAATTCCCTTCTGGGTAATGCACATATTTGATAAAGACGCAAAGTCGAAACGGACAGTCAAGCCTGGGAAAGTTCGTCCTGCTTGTGCTGAGACTTTGGTCTCTTGATGTTATTCAGCTGTTGAAACAAAACAACAATTAAAGCAGTATCTTCATTGTTTATTCATTATACTGTGAACTTGTTCAGCAATGTGTTTTTTGCATGTTTGATCTGAATTGCTGGGTCCTATTCACCCTTGTTATTTTTAGGGTAAGGCCACTGCTTATGGTAGAGCACTTGCTTTGCATGCAGATGGTCCCAGGCTCAGTCTGTGTAGTCCCCCATTAACAAATCTCGGCTAACAAGTAAGGAAGATCTTTCTTAAACCCTGGAGAAATGTTGTCAGACTGAGTAGACAATACTGAGCTAGGTGAACCAATGGTCAGATTTCTGCCAGTGGACAACCTTGGAGGATTCAGACCTTTAATAACTCTGATAATGGATCACTGCTCAGATACATTGAGGGTAGTTTTTGGAGCCCTGGCCAGAAGTGCCAAAGTTTGCAGCAATCCCAAGAAAACAATATGCAAGATCCAGGTTTGCTTACAAGGAGATTTTAATAAATCATCAAACTTACAGAAATAGCAAGCTAAGCTTCCTTCTGCTGGGCCTCGAATGCACACACATAGCAAAGCTAGCCAGAATCCAAGATGAAATACATAGCTAAAACTAAACATCTTATATCCTAATTGCTGGCTACAGGAAGTCAAGAATATTGTCATCAAAGCTATATCCCTAAATATTGAGAGGAATCAGGGGATATCTTGCACCTGGCGCCTAGTAGCTGAGAAAAACAAATCCGCTTTCTTAGATAAGAACTCGGGAGAGTGCTAATAAAAACATACAAAGAATATTCTCTTGGGAGCAGCCCGCCAGCCATCCTCACAGGCAACTTGAGGTCAGGCACTAAGCAGAAAACCAAAATGGAGTTACAGAGACTATACAAGTAGGGATATGGAAATTAATATTGAAAGAAGTCTACTACTGGCTAAAAGTTTATGTAGACTTCCTTGAGTTGATAAAGAGTTGTTGCCACACTACGAACATTAAAGTCAATTTATGTGATATGTCAGATGTGTGGAACTGATTAATGAATTCCCATTTGGTGTTAGTATGGGAACTGATATTGTTTATTGGAAATTGTTTTCAGTGTATTTTCATAGTGCTTTATTACAAGTGTTATCAAAATAGTTTGATAGTTGTATGAATGTTTTATGTGGTGATACATATGTGTTGATAGAGGATACAGGATCATTGTGCGTATTGGAAAATGTATCCCTGTTCAATCTCAATGGAAGATATTAGTAAAAATGGAAGAATATGTCAGATTCTCATGAACCTGGCTCTCCCCGCTCTTACTATAGCCGCTATTCCACACTAGCTCTGTCCTGCTTTCTGGAGGAGGACAAGGGGGAAATATGGTTGCATGGTTATGCAGATGCAAGCATACAGCTGGCAAGTTCTATCGGTGTGCACTAGCTTCTGACCAGGAATGAAGGGTAAAGGAGAATGATGCCTTGAAGTTCAGGACCAGGTGCAATGAGATCAACCAGCATAATTCTGTTGTTCTTTCAGTGGGAAATGAAGCACATGGCACTTCATGCTGTAAGTGCCAGTTTTTGAAACAACTGAAGGCGGCGTAGCAGCTAGGTGGTGGCAGATGGCTGGGAGGAAAGGCAAACTGGGATTTTGCTGCTGACTTCTTGCCTAACCACCATGAGCCAATTGCAGCTCACCAGAGGGGAGTACCGAATGGCTTGCTAGAAAAAATATTCTTTGTCATGCTTCCTTTTTCGATTGGTTACAGCCGAAGAAGAAAGGAAGACGTGGTGGCTTCAAACTTGCCCTTCTTTATTGCTTCTTGAGATCCTAATTTAAATTTATGAGAGGTTAGCGTTAATGGCATTTTCACATTTGTGTCATTTCTGTTCATTTTTTACAGGTGCAATATGGAATTTTCCCAGATAATTTTACCTTCAATATACTGTTAGATTCTTTTATAAAGGATGGGAATTATAAAGGTAAGAAACAAAACATCCATGGCCATGCAGAATATGATGCTGTCCATTTTCATCTCTAAGTACCTGGTGGACGTGGCCATCTTTGGTCCCCTTCCTATTTGCCTGCATGTTGTGATTTTAATGGCACATAATAGCAACCACTGTATTTCCCTAAATGTTCTAGAGCTACAAGCATCTAGAGCCAGCCAGTGTATCAGACAAATCAAAGGGGTTAGCCAAGATGCCTTTTTTGTATTGTTGCTGATTTGGGGTTGAAATATGGTTCTTTCCCTGCCAACTAAGGACTTGTTCACAACTGACTGTAAGATATTAGAGTGCCTGAAATTGGTTCAGAATTGGTTTTTGTGATGCAATCCATGGATCATCCTTTGATTTAGTGTGCAGAGTCCTCATGTGTAAAATGCTTTGGTTCTTATCTGTTACATGTCTGATGTGGTGCTGCAAAATGGGACTCTGGTAGAAATATATGCTGATTCAGCAGCATCCTTCCAAACACCTTTCTAAGATGTATCTTCTCTTTGAAATAGATACCCAAGTTCCTCTTCCGGCCCTGTATTTTCACACATTTAAACTCTGGTATAAATGATGAAGACATACTCATATTTTAAAAAAATAATATGAGAAGAAGCCGTGAGTCCAGAAGCTTGACAAATCTCCCACTGGCATACTATTTGATTTTAATGTTCTTCAATTTCCAGATGCTATGGCTGTGGTTACTGAGATAATGATACAAGAAAGTTTTGATGAAGTGTCTACACAACTTCTTGCACTTTTTGTCATGTATAACTATTTGGAAAACAAAGCAGAACTTACGGTAAGGTATTTGTGTAATAAAAACTAGTCTCAGGTGGTAAGACTGGGTAAGGTATAGTGTGCCTACCAGAAATGGATGCCATTCTTTCTTGGATTGCCTAAATTGAACAGAACACCTGTGGCCTGTTTTTCTGCTGAACATAATAATGCACATCAAGTCAGACACTTCCTTTTAATTAAAAAATGTGTATAGTAAATGCCGTTCAGGAGGTTAAGATGCTTAACCCAGTATTCCATTTTTCTTATTCTGCTTTAACCATACTTCTGTCCAAAAATGACAGAGTGAACCAAAAGGATAGATTCTTACCTCATTTATAGTGTGCAGGTTTATGTGACATAGGTCCTTTCCCCCCCGTCTGTCCAACATGGTTAAAATTTAGACTGGAAGTTCCTGAAGGCAGAGATATTTTTCTTGATTTTTGCGTATACTGTTTTGTCAAGTGTCATGTACATTGGTAGTGCTGTATAAATCACAATATCATATATCTAATAGTGACCTACAACTCATGCTGGATAGTGACACTTCCCTCACATAGGCACTGGGGGGGGGGCAACCTTTTCTTGCTTACAGACAGCCTGCTAACCTAAAACAACTTCTCATCCGCAATGATAAACTACTTAACAGTCACATGGACTCTTGTACCAAGGCCTGCAACAAACCAAGATGCCAACTTTGCTCTCATATAAATCCTAGCAACACGATCAGTGGGCCCAGCTACATCAGCCATACCATCTCAGGTTCATATTCCTGCTCATCCTCTAATGCAGAGGTGTCAAACATGCAGCCCAGGGGGGGCGGATCAGGCCCCCGGCGGGCTTCCATCAGACCCGCAGTGGAACTGGCCATCTCCTGCTTCCAGTTGTGCTGCTGCTGCTGCATCATAGCTTGCTTCACCAGACTCTCTTAATCACTCAGCCATTTCATGTTTTAACCTAGGTCCTAGACTCAGAACTCTGAGCATGAGATTTCTGTGGTGAATGTCAATAAATCAATAGCAGGTTTGCAGCTTACAGAGCTAATGTTTTAAGCATGTTCTTATTTTAAGTAAAAAAATCTTTGTGTTTGTGTCCTTTATAACGTTTATATCTCTGCTACCTGGCATTACGTTTTATGACACACATGGCACGGCCCAACAAGGTCTCATTTATGTCAGATCCAGCCCTCAAAACAAATGAGTTCGACACCCCTGCTCTAATGTGATTTATGCCGTCATATGTCAGCAATGTTATTCAACCCTCTACAGTGGACAAACAGGCCAGTCCATTCAACAAAGAATTATTAGACATAGGTCTGACATTAAAAAACACAACATTCAAAAACCAGTGGGGGAACATTTTAACCTTCCAAGACATTCAGTTGCTGAATGAGTAGCAGTTCTCATACAGTTCTCATACAAAGGAACTTCAAAGGGAGATTAGAAAGAGAGGCTGCTGAATTGCAACTGATAATGAAGCTCAAGACAATGCATCCACCTGGACTGAATTGAGACCTAAGTTTCCTGTCTTATTACCGGTGCTGATTTCTCCACACCTACTATCCTTCTGCATATTACACCTAATGCAATCATGCCTGCTGTTGTCATTCACCTGCTGTTGTCATTTGCCCGCTAATGTCATTCGGCATCTGAAATCACGTCACTTTCCAATATGTAGAAATATATAGGACAGATGGACTCACATTCTAGCTGTATCTGAAGAAGTGAGCAGTGACTCACAAAAGCTCATGGCCTGCCACAGATTTTGTTAGTCTTTAAGGTGCTGTTGTACTCTTGCTCTTTTCTACTGATAGTGAAGTATGGGCTGACTTGCAGATATTTAAATCTGCAGTTTGGGCCCATAGTGACAAGAAACAGATAGCTCTGCAAACTTGGGGAGTTCCAAGGCTTGCAGAAAAATCTTAAAATTTTTAAAAACAAACACATTGGGGGATTTAAATTCCCTCCACCTACAAAAAAAAGCATTCTCTGCACGTGTGCTGGGCTTGGCAGCAGCATGGGGGAGGGGGAAGCTGTGGCAGGCTTGGTAGCAGTGATGGGGGAGGGAAGCTAAGAGGAGGAGGGAATTTCCCGTGAGTGTTGCTGGTTCCCACTTGTTAGTATGTCAGTGCTGGTTAGTGATTTTGAGTACACAGCTAAGGAGTGATACATTGTTCAGTGTGGTTAATTCAGAACAAATGTCTGACTGGATAAATGGTACATGGGTTGTGTGCCTGCATGTATATGCCTGCCACTATCTAAGTTCACTTAATGCATCTGATAAACTAGGCTGTAACGACAAATGTACATGCCAAAATAAACCCCTTAGAGTATTCCAGTTTTTACTCATTAGAACTCAGTAACTGGATCTGTACTAACAGAAAACTAGTGGGCCGACCTTTTTCTTCCTTTGCAGGTTGTGCATTTGACCTGGCTTATACCTGGCCAGGCTTATACCTTTACCAGGGCAACCATAGCTAAATCTTTGGAGGGGAACCGTCACATTTGATTTCTGTTCTCACACCTTCCCCTGATCTATCAAGCGGCCTATCAAAAGTATATACATATACTTCCAGGCTGTTCCTGGATCCTGTGAGTTATATGTATTTAATCCTTTTGTTATGGTGATTTGAGATTGACCGTCATGCACAGACGTGACCTTATAATAACATCAGACCGCTGGCCCTTATAGTTTAGGACTGTCTACTCTGACTAGCAGTGGCTGTTCAGGGTCTCAGATGTGGGAAGATCTTTTGCTGTACCCACTACAAGAGACATTTAAGTGGAGAGATCAGGAACTGAGCCTGGGACCTTCTGCATGCAAATTATGTGCTCTGCCACTGAGCTGTGTAGTCTCCATATATTTACTTCTCACAAGTGAAATAGTGAGACTGCAGTTGACAGCTGCGGTTGAAGAAATTGCTATGAGGGTTAGTGCTGACAGAAAAGGGCATAGACAGCTTAATAGAAATACAGTGCAGTGTAAACGTGAGAGAGTCTTACTTACCGTATTTATTTATTATTCATCATAACAATGTATACCTCACCTTTTTCACGTATAGTTCAAGGTGATGATCCATATAAAATCAAGATAAAGCACTTCCCCCCCAAAAAAACCACCAAATCCAGCCAGTACAAACACATGCCCCGTATGTCGTACTGTAGTAGCAACCAGTAGACTCAACAAAAAGCCCTCCCCCAAGTATTGTCTCACAAGCCGTTCTGTGGCAGGAGCAACAAGGGGAAAGGCCTGATTTCTGGTGTAGGCCAGTCGAGCAGAAGGGACAGTGAAAAGATGCTTGTGTTTATAACAGGAAAGGCAGTCCTTAGTGCCAGTCCATAACAAATTGCATCTGTGTGGTTGGAGATCTTTAGGGAAAGCAAATTTAATACAAAAGCTTATGACACAGTTTGACTTCTTGACAATTTCGTAGTGTACTTGGCTAACCGCTGTGAGCTGGGAAGTTCCCTGTTTCAAATCTGCCCTCTAGGAAGCATTAGGTAAGCTATTGCTCAACCTCCTCCCCACCCCCCCACCCCCGTTTTCAATACAGCAGGGTAGTAGAGTACTTTGGAAATAAGCTACATCAGTGCCAAGTCTTCTTATGATCCAGAAATTGCTGGCAGTTCAGAAAAGTAAATCGATTGAATAACACAGGAAAACTTACTTTCTTCCAACATGAAATATTTAATATTTAGGATTATATGCAGAAGATTCTCATTATCTGAAAGGCCTGTGGTCTGGACTTCACATTCTGAGTTGTTCTTTGTACTTCTTTTCATTTTTTCGTTTATTCAGTGGCCGATATGATTATATTTCTTCATGTGTAATGTAGGCCAGCACAATATCAGTCTACTTTGGGGTTTTACTATACTTTTTCATTTAGATCAAATCAACTAGCATTGCTTGTGGGCTAAAATCTCATGAGATGACTGTATTCCTGTTCTTCATAATATACCCCATGTCTCCCTTTGGAGACTAAGAAAAATGCAGTACTGTGGATGGATAGGGCAGACAGTAAAACCCCCATTATCAGAATTGTCATTATCCAGATTTCCTGTTTGTCTTTCATATGTCAGCGTAATCCCATATGAACATTACTCTTGTTTTTTATCTGAACTTCAGATAGCATTTTGAATAGGTTTCCTAGCCAGCCATTGACTCAGTTTTGTACTTTCCCACTTTTATTTAGTGTCTGTCTAAACAGAGCAGCAATTTGCCCCTCTCCTGAGCCATTTGCAACTGCCCTAGGAGGGTTTTAGGTCTGTGGAACTTTTAGTTTGCATATATTCTCTAGTGAGCCTCTGATTTTTCTCTTTCTCACCTAGGGTTGCCATATTCAAGGAAATTGAATCTGGTTGCATGGTTTGCATGTTGAGCACAATGAAAATTATGCAATTCAGGCACATGCATTAGTATATTATCAATTTCTTCGCGCCCCTTCCTGTTAGATACCACAAAAGGCTGGGCCTAACTAGACAATGCATTGTTCCCAGATCTGCCTTGGGTTCTAAGTTACAACTGATTCCCAAATATTCCGGGACTTGATTTGGACTGGGAACCAGGGGTGTGCTTTTGGATCTACCTGAGCCAAAAATATACCCTTATCAGTATTTTTCGGGTATATTTCGGCTTCCCAAATGTATCTGGGTTTTCTTGGGAAAACAGGGAAAAAATCCTGAGAAAATCCTGGATATATTTGCGAATTACCCGTTGATCCGAAAACAGCATCCCGCCTCTCCGCTGTTTGTCAGGCTTCTACTGCAGTCCCTTCAAAGTTATAACTCAGTCCAGAGGGCAAGTTTTGCATTCAAAAGGTCCCAGGTTCTATCCCTGACATCTCCAGTTAAATGGGCCAGATTGGAAGTGATGTGAAAGACCTCTACCTAAAACTCTGGAGAGATTCTGACAGGCCGCCTAAGAGCAAACCGTACTGAGTTAGGGGGAGAAGCAGTCTGACTTGTTCTAGAGCAGCTTTATATGTTGGGTTCTTTAACACATGGTGGAAGCATCGTGTGTTTATAGTCTATTGTTGTTTGAAGGTTTGTGTTGATCAAAAATGTCTTAATACCAAAACAAGTGTATTAAAAAAAACAGCTCACATATAGTTGCAGGATTGTTGTGATCCGTATATCTGAGTAGACTTTGCAGCACAACCAAACAAGGAAAGTGGACGTGCTTGCGTCTGGGAAAGGGAGGGCAGGGAGTGGTGACAAAAGGACTGTCCACAACCAGAAACATCATGTTCCATTTTAACATTAATTCATTGAAGTAATGCTTAATATTTTTAGTGGGAAGAAGAGAGAGATCTCGGAGCATCCCTGTTGTTAACAGGCCTGAAGCAGAGCAACACAGTGGGCTTCAGCTCTCAGTTGTATGGTTATGCACTTCTCGGTAAGTTCTAAGCATTTCACTACAAGCTCTCTTCCTTACAGCTTCATAGATTAGGTTTAGGTAGGTGAATTGGCTAAATTAAGTGGTTAAGACAGCTTTCTGCATCCTACAAAACTAGAATTAACATCAAGGTATTGATGTACAATCCATATAAAACGATTCACATCCACTATTATACTTACAGCTGGTATTGAGAGCTGTGTGTCACGAATGGGAGAGGTGGACCTGTGCATAACATTCCCACAACCAACTGCTGAGGTCCAAAACTGCTTGAAATAGACCTGTGCATGATGCTGAGAATGCCATGAATGGAAACATTTTCCTCCCTATAGAAATTGCACAAGGGGGACCCCGATTATTATTGGGGTGTGTGTGTGTTGTGCCTCCCCCCTGTGCTGTTTTCCCAATCTGAAATAGCTCTGGGGAACATAAAGCTGTCCTCCTCTAATGCTACAGTCCCAGTCAGAACTTGGACCTTCATGCAAGATGGAGAAAACATTCTGGGAACTCGTGGAACTCCTAATATCATGTGTAGTTGAGACTTTGATGTGCCATGTCTGAAGCCCTCCGTTTCAATACACTTTTGGAGTATTTTAAAGAATAACTTTGCCTAATTCTGGATTACCTACTAATTCTGTGCTAGCTTTGTCCTACCCCATTATTAGCTGTTAACTGACTCCCCACTTTCAGCTGTAGGACAACTGAGGCATAAAGGATTTGACCTCTCTCTGTGTCTCACAGTTTGTTAGGGAAAACTCACAGAGGTAGTAAAGCACACAAGGTGACAGAACAAGGATGCTGATTCTGATTCTATGTGACTGTAAGACAACACTGCAAGACAACAGTGTAAGACAACAGTGAGAGTAAATTTGAAAGCTATAAACTAATTGGCATCCCATTCCCCTTAGAACTGTGCACTTCACTTGGTGTACTGATGTATGCATACCTCCCCCTTCTTCTGTGGTCAGCATTTTGTATTTATAGGTAGCCTAAATGATTTGGGAAGGCATTGTACTTAGCAAATTGGTTTACTGCCGTGTGGGAGTGACCCTCCTGACATTGGCATACCAAAGATCAAAAGCTATTTTCTGCTATGTCACACATTCTGCAGTCTTGCCAACTCTAATGGAGTAGACCTCTGCAAGAGTGAAAGACGTCTGTGGGCACAGATTGGCTCGGAGCAATTTAGCAGTTTATATTTAGCCACAACCCAACAAGGTTTGTTTGTACACACGTGACTGTGGCTCCCTGTAGCCTCCCTGCTTGGGGAAGAGAGACATTAGGTGTGTCACAGTAGGATGCACTATTGTGATTAATGTAGACAGCTAAAGGTGATACAAACTCCAGTAAGGTAAAGAAGACTACATCAGAATTCTTTAGTAACAAATGTCTGATTTTGCCAGGATGACAAGAGTTAAGGACTGGGTCCTGCTAATAAAGAGTTCGTAATCAACCAAGTGGTTAGGGTTAGAATGTCAAGTATACTTAATAGGCTATAATTTTCCTGGGTGAAAATCATTTCCCATGTAGAAAGCTACATGGCCGCTTCAGGGTTCATGCTCATAGTAATGTGGAGAAGCTACAGTGGACAGCAGCAAAAGTTAAAAAAAAAGATCCCTGCCTGATGAATCTACAGGGAAGGTCTACCTCCATGAGTAAGGGAGGTGTTTGAATTCATTAATTGGCCAATAATACAACACTGAGTATTCAAAGAGAGCCAGTGTGATGCAGTGGGGTTAACAGTGTTGAACTGGGATCTGATAGACCCAGGTCTGAATCCCCACTCGTGCCATGGAAGCTGGCCAGGCGACCTTGGGCCAGCCACTTCACAGGGTTGTTGTGGGGATAACATGGAGGTGAGGAGAATGATTATAAGCTGCTCTGGGTACCCGTTGGGGAGAAATAAAATCTGCCTTTCAAACCAATTAAAAAGGTTAATTTTTTTTGCTAATTTCCAAGTACCCCCTGCATACAGAATTGCTGACATCTTCCAGCCCTTGATCATGAGTTGGTTCCACCCAAGTCTGTGTGATTCTGCAAGAGCAACATTTCTGTGTTGTAGCTATTCTGAAGAGGAATATCTGCTCCCTATCTGTTTCCCCACCCTCCAGACTCAGCCTAAGCCAGATAATGGAAAGTGTAAGCTTCTGATAACAGGCAAGAAGCCAATCCCTGGAAACGTTAGTCTGTTCCAGGTGTGACATACATCTGGACCAAAACGCTAGAGCAATGTCGCATTGGAAAAGTAGGAACTTCACCTGAGGCAATAGGTGCTTTTAAGGCACTACACCTTTGCAGAAAATGGGGTTTTAGATTCATTTGAAAAAGGGCTGAATTTGGTAAGTGCAGACTAGCGCAGCCTGGTAATTGAAGCTCGTCACTGAGTTCCATGTCTGATAACTGGCAGGATCCTAATTTGACAGGAAGGATGTTTTGACAGTCATTCTCCACAAGCAGTTACAGGTGGCAAGCCATAAAAATTTCAGAGGATGGGAAAGTTGCTTTCAAGATGAAATTATTTTCTGATTTTAAATAACAATTCTGTATTTAACAACAGGAAAAGTGGAGCTGCACAAGGGACTACGAGCTGTATACCACCAAATGCCACTCATGTGGACCCCAGGTTATCTGAACAGAGCCTTGCAAGTGATGGAGAATGTGGCATTACTTCCTGAGAATGTAAAGCTCTGTAAAGAAGCTGTAAGTGGATAAAGCAGTGGAGTGGAGAATTATTTGGCAAAGCAGAACCTCAGGGATTCTTGGGACTGGGATAGATTGATCATCTGAGCAGGCCAACAGCAGGTGGCAGAAGAATTCAGCACTGGCCTCCTCCATATTGCAGCTCTTGGCCATCTGATTATACTGAACAAGCTGCTGGCAATTTGCTGGTGTCAGTATTATTTTTCTTTCTAACTTCATGATAGTGTTTTCTGACATAGGATACTGCCAAAGCCTGTTGCCTTCAGACCCTTCCTAAAACTCTGTGTGTGTTGGACAGGATAGCAGCAGTACTCCAAACAGTAAACAGAAGCTTTGTGGTGCTCTAAAGCAGGGGTGTCAAACATGTGGTCCAGGGGTCGGATCAGGCCCCCAGAGGGCTTCTATCAGGTCCACAGTGGAACTGGCTGTCTTCTGCTTCTTCTTCCAGTTCTGCTGCTGCTGCTTCATCGTAGGTTTGCAGCTTACAGATACACACCTGAACAGCACACTCATGATTGCAACAGCACAGACATTTCGATGCAATAATTCAGAGCAAGAGGTGTCAGTTATCAGACACTGTTAAATAAACAAAATATTGCAAGAGTGCTAAAGTTTTAAGCATGTTTTTATTTTAAGTAAAAAAAACCCCACCTTTGTGTTTGTATCCTTTATAAAGTTTATATCTCCGCTACCTGGCATTACATTTTATGACACACATGGCCCGGCCCAACAAGGTCCCATTTATGTCAGATCCGGCCCTCACAACAAATGAGTTCAACACCCCTGCTCTAAAGACTAACAATTTCAGTTTTAATCCATGAATGTTTATACTAGAATAAAAGTCTGTTAGTGCACTGCAGCAAAAACAGACAGGAGTTACGGTGCTAGACTAACTCAGCTGTTCCTCTGGTACAGTTTGACAGCTGTGGATTCCCAGTGGTTTCTTTGCTCTTGGCATTTGAGTTGCGCAGAAGAATAAGTTCTTCCCCTTGGAGGAGTGGAACCTTCCATCATACTCCAGTACTTAGCCCCACTGAGTGCAGAAGGAAGTGCAAGTCACCTTTGAGCAGTGTCCCAGTGCAGAGTTAGCCTGCACATTGTCAGCTGTCTGTTGTCAACAGGAGAGAGCAGATGGAGGATTATATTGAAAGTCAAATAAGCCAGACAACCTCTTGATACAGTTTAGCAAAGCAGAAATTCAGTTTCCACATATCGCTTCAACATACCATGATGTCTTTGTGGAAGAGTTGAGCAACTTTCAGCAAGAGCCTTGCAACCCATCTAAATAACAAAATCAATAGCCATTTCAGGAAAGACTCTGCTTCATCAAATTGCTTCTCCCACAAAGTTCAACCAACATGCAAGCCCTTAAAAAAACAACCCTTCACTCTTAAATTCCCTTTTATCTCAGAGCATTAGTCAAATAATCCACTGTCAATAATTACATCGCTTGTATACTGGTGCTTTAAAAATCCTTTTATGAACGCATTCTATGGTCGACCAATCTCAAAGACAAAGAGCAGTTTCTCTGAAAAGTGGGGGTAAATATTGAACAGTCTTAATAGGACTTTTGAAATGTTGAGCTTTGAAAAACAATGAGTTGTGGATATTTGCTGGCTTGGCAGTGTTTTTGACCCTTTTGCTACAATGCATTCAAATCTTTATGAGTCAGGTTCATGTCTAGACTTTATATCTACATGTAAGTCTAGAAATGATCCTGCTTTTTACCATGGACCCATGGACTTCAGAAAGATGCCCACCAGAGCATCCAATCAGTCACTCTTATGGTTTAGGGTGTTGGGGGTTTTTTTTGCAAGCCACTTACTTGTACATTCACATTTCGGTTCCCTAGGCTGATGCTCTGGCAGCCATTTTGCAGCCTGTTCCCCTGACAGAGACATCTCAAGAAGAAGCAACGGCATCAGAAGAAACACTAAAGCAAGCTCAGTTTGAAGAAACAGAAAAGCTTCAACTTCCTGAGTACCTTGAGCAGTTCAAGGTAGGCTGTTTCCTTTTTCCCAGGCATTGGTTGATTGTAGTCAGCTTCCATTGTCCCCAGTAAAAATTACGCACACCTCTTCTGCTCCAAGATACTGATGCTCCCCCAGTAATGTTACCTGGCCTTTTAAACATTGTCATTGAATTATGTTTTTAAACACATCAAACAGGAAATTGTGTTTTGAAAAACATGCTCAAGGCCACTTGTCTGTTGCCTGGCTGCTGGGATGTTGTTTTTGCATTTCAAACATCAGCCTTGATAAGTCAAGTGCCTTGCTAAGTGAAGTGGTGTGTCATTCCGGATCAGTTACTTGCCCTTGTGCCATTTCTCCATTGTTAATGTGTATTCCGTTACTGTCGGTTGTCAGGAGGAAATTACTATAACAGCTGTAACATAGCTTAGATTCGTTTGGTTGAACACAGATTACCATTTACCAAGTGATAACCTATCATGGTGATTAGGTAACCTTAGATAGACCCAAGCATTTTAACAGTGACAGTTTGGTAGTCTTGAGGTCTCTGATACATCTTCAGTGAGCGGATATATATCTTTGAAAGAAAGGTGCTCATATTTTAGCACCCTACTTTTGTCAGAATTCTCTTCAGCTCAGGAAAAGCAAAAGTACTGGTCACAGATCTGTCCCATTTATGGCAGTAGTTTCCTCCAATGTAAGGAACCTTCTGCTGATGTAAGATTAGTGAATGCAGTGGAGTCAAGCTAGTGAGCCGTAGCTGTCCAATCCCCTTTTCAAGTCATCTGTACTTGTAGCCACCACTACATCCACCTTTATTTCTGCAAAGGGCTTTCTTAGCAGTGAATCTGATGAGTATCTTGCTGGGAAGGAATTGTTCCTTAACACCAGCCAGTGGCTAAGTTTCCATTGTATTTTTGTCGTCCACAGTATCAACTTTTGTGGTTGTATGGTATGAACTGTCAAGCATGTAACATTTCTCAAAGTAGCATCTCTAAGGGTTGAATCACATGACAGGAGGTCCTTGCGGGCACCTCAAAGACTTTGTATCAGGAACGTGCCAGTTATATGGGGACCATATTCCAGTTGTGGCACATGTGGAGAAGGGGCTTCAGGCTCTTGCCATCCAAAGACTCTGGGGAGCGGCCATCTGCTCTGCTGGGAAACTTACATGTATCTATCATTACACATACCCTGGAGCAAACAGGAGCTCCCCAGAGTCATTTCAGTTTTTGATAACACAAGGTCCTTCTGGCAGAGGACATTGTTTCACGTGAGTCAGCCAAACTCTCTGCTTACAAAAACTTAAGGAATGGCAGTTTGAATGGTAGAATTTGAAAAGTGACTCATTTACTTGGGCAAGCCTTTACAGTGCACATGCCCAGCAATGTGATTAACTTCCTTTTACTGTAAGGTCACATCTTTGAAAAGGATAAATTCCCACTGAACAAAACAGGGTATTTTCCCAACTGTGAATGATATGGATTGAATAAATGTGCAGTCCATTTTCCCGCCTAGGGATTGTGCGTACGTTTTGATGTTCAGAGAGTGAAAAGTTCAAGAGAAGTGCAGGTGGAGATGAAAAAGGACTGATGGAAACTAGAACTGCAGAAGATATATGGTGTTGTGTTGTGTTTGGGGGGGATGGGAAATGTTCCTTCAACAAATCCTTAGTTTTTCAGCCACAGAATGTGTAGGGTTCAGTTTTCTCACTGATCCTCAGATGGGCAGCTGTGTCATGGCATCATGAAACCCCTAATCATTTCCCCGCTTCTCTGATACCAGTGCACCAAATTCTGTTGGGACTGCAACTAGGGATGGTGCTTGTCTCAGGATTTGACTGCTTCCAGCTCAGAATGCTTGGCTCTATTAGGAAGTGAGCTACATATATCATCCCCCAGGTCAGGATGTAAAGCCAGGCTGCTATTGCACCATCTGCATTCGTTAAACTCAACATCTACTCTGTAGCTGCATGTTCAGCAGCTGTTCTCTTTTAATTCCACACTCTCAGTGACACCAGCAGCAGCCCTTCTCACTTCCGTAGCTGCCTTTTCCCTTCTCAGTTAAAATTGTCTGGGGGTAGCAGTGATGGGAGCATAAAATGGAGGAGAGGAGAATGATGCTTTGTGTCTCTATTGGGGAGAAAGGTGAGATATAAATGAAGTAAATCCTTTCCTTTCTTTCAAGCTCCTTTGATCCAATGATCTTGAGCAGTGAACAAGGGGCATTTATTTCTTCAAGGAAAATATGGTGAGAGATATTTGGCCACAGGCAGCATAGTCCTTAAGTCTCTATCTCAAGTTAGTGTATTGGTTAAGAGTTGTTGTTGTTGTTGTTGTTCAGTCGCACAGTCGAGTCCGACTCTTCGCGACCCCATGGACCAGCTCCCGCCAGGCCCTCCTGTCTTCTGCCGTCCTCTGAAGTTTTCTCAACTTCATGTTTGTTGCATCTATGACACTGTCTAACCATCTCATCCTTTGCCATCCCCGTCTTTGACCTTCAATCTTTCCCAGCATCAGGGTCTTCTCCAGTGAATGCTCCCTTCTCATTTGGTGGCCAAAGTATTTGAGCTTCAGTTTCATTATCTGGCCTTCCAGGGAACAGTCAGGGTTGATTTCTTTTAGGATTGACTGATTTGATCTTCTTGCAGTCCAAGGGACTCATTGGTTAAGAGTGGCGGACTCTAATCTGGAGAACCGGGTTTGATTTCTCACTCCTCCGCATGCAGCTAGCTGGGTGACCTTGGGTAGATCACAGTTCTCTCAGAGCTCTCTCAGGCCCACATATCTCACAGGGTGTCTATTGTGGGGAGTGGAACGAAAGGAGATTGAAAGCCACTCTGAGTGAAGGGCAGGGTATAAATCCAACTCTTCTTCTTCCTCTGTCTACCAACAAATAGGGGATTATCTTTTGTTACAGTAGAAGGACATTTAGTTAAAATAGGGGCGATCCATAAATTGCGGTAATAGTTATACTGAGGGCATTCCAATATCATGTGGAATAGGGAGTCAGCCTTTTTCAGATCACAAAGCCTAACTGAATAAGGCAGATTACAATATATCCCGTATAAGGCTGCAGGAGGGGCAGCGTTCAAATGTCCGAGCGTAAATGCTCTACAGTAACAAGGAACCATTAAGTATCTCTCCTTATATATAATTGAATAGTGGGTGCCAAAGTTCTAAAATGCACTCCTTTAGTGTATGGACGCTTGAACTGTCAGTCAGAAGACGCTGGCTGGGTTGACTGGCTGCTTTGTGCAGTCCCGCCCAGTGTTTCAAGGTCTTTTGCATATGGAAGCTGATTGGACTTCACTGCATTCCACACCTCAAACTCAACCCCCTCCCCACAAGGCAGTTGGAATGTCAGTTGCATATGGAACCTTCAAGGTCTTTTGCATATGGAAGCTGATTGGACTTCACTCCATTCCACACCTCATACTCCCCCCCCACACACAAGGCAGTTGGAATGTCTGGTGGTGTGTAGGTCCCAGGATCATGTTTTAAAAGCTGCCTGGGGAGATGGGGACCTCAGACAGGTTACAGTGCCATAGACTCCACCCTCCAACCCAGCTATTTGCTCCTGGGGAACTATTGTTGCCAATCTTGGCCCAGCACCCATCAAACCATTCTCTTCAACCCCCTGCTGTGCAGCACACTTTCCCCTAGGGTTGCCAAACTCCAGGTGGGACCTGGAGATCTCCCACTGCTACAATTGATTTCCAGATGACAGAGATCAGTTTCCCCTGGAGAAAATGGCTGCTTTGGAAGGTAGACCCTATGACATTATACCTGCTGAGTCCTTCCGCCCCCCCACCCCGCCCAATGCTGCCCACTACAGAATCCACCCCCCAAAACTCCAGGTATTTCCCTCCTTAGAGCTGGCAACCCTACATTCCCCTCAATGCCTGTTGGTAGGCAACTAAGCTTGGTCCTGTCACCTACTTTGGCCTTTGGGAGAAAACACATTGGGGCCAGTCCTGATAGGGTTGCCAACTCCAGATGGGAAATTCCTGGAGATTTGAGGGATGGAGCCTGAAGAGGGTGAGGTTTGAGGAGGGGTGGGACCTCAGACAGGTACACTGCCATAGACTCCACCCTCCAAACCAGTCAGTCCCACATAGGGAACCATTGTTGCCAATCTCCAGGTGAGGGCTGGATAGCACTCAGAATTACAACTGCTCTGCAGAAGGGAGAGCAGAAGTCAGCTGAAGTCAAAGGGACAGATAATGCTAGGTTGATGGTTAGCTGGGAGGGAGATGGGGTTGCCAACTACATGAGGGGTGGAGCCTGGAGAGGGTGGGGTTTGCAGAGGGGTGGGACCTCAGACAGGTAGAATGCCATAGACTACACCCTCCAAACCAGCCACTTTGTCCTGGGTAACAATTGCTGCCAATCTCCAGGTGAGGGCTACAGATCACTCACAATTACAACTGCTCTTCAGGTAGCAGAGATCAGTTCCTCTGGAGAAAACAGTGGACTCTGTCATTATACCCTGCTGAGGTCACCACAGCAAATTGACACTGTTTGCCCAAAGCCAGAGCACTCCCCCAGAGCCTCTTTCTAGATCTCGTTGTATTGCTTTCACAACGGGCTTTACTGCTAGTCTGGTATAAGCTGGGATGGTTGAAGGTGAAAGGATGCCGAAGAACTGGGTGGAGCATACTCTCCAGACTCGTATAACTGAGCTGAAGTAGTCTCTATCTTTTATGTATGAAGCAAATAAATAAATAAGCAGGGCTAATGCAGTGTTTTTTGCTAGGCAACAGGAGTGACACTGTGGCCAAGAGCTTTGGGAAATTCCCATTTTACCCAGGTCTGGGTTCTGCAGTGCTTTTGCCTAATTAAGGAAGGCACATCTGCCTTTTGTTATCAAGGTTTTAGCTCTCCATTGGAGCCTGCTCTAAAGTAGAGCTATAATCCCCAGCATGATGCCTGTGGGTGCCATGGTGCCCAACAATGTATTTCTTGAAACTCACTTGTTTCTTCCCCAAAGCAAATGGTCAGTCTTGGCATTCTTCCACCTCATTGGAGCAGGAGGTGCTTCATAAGGACCCAGGCAGCAGCATCTTTGTGTCAGTAGAGAACACACATTGTGCACTACATGAAGGCACATTGCTTGGAATATCTCATCATTGTGATTCGCCCCAAGCCCCATGGCAACCCTTTTGTGGTGGTGCCCACTCAGTGTTCTAAAAATTCCAAAACTGCCCATAGCTGGGGATACCTTCAGCCCACATAGGTGGACATTTTATGGCAGGTGGAATTTACAGGCCACATAAAACTCGTAACAGAAGAATGAAGAAACCCAAAAATCTTTAAAGCCTATCCTTGTGAACTTTGCCTGTTCATCAAGATCAGCCTTGTTCTTTGGGTTCCCCTGCTATTTGAAGTTATTCAAATTCAAAGGTATTCTAAAAGGAGTTTGGTCAAATTTCTCTGTTCCTTTGGGTTTTGTGCTTAATTTTCTGTTAACGGTTTTTCTGGCCATTTTGAACAAATGCGTGTTTGCAACTGTAGGTCTCACTTGACTATAATTTATCAGGGTAAGTTATTTCCTCAATTTTTTTCTCTGACAGGGACTTATGAAGATACCAAATTTAAATAACCAGCAGTTAATCAAAATATAAATGGACCCCCCAAAAAAATCCCAACACCTCAAAACTGGTATTCTGGGCAGGTTCTCAGTTCAGTAGCCAGATCAATCAATAGGCACAGGTTGTGGGCCATGAGCCGAGCCAAGAATCCTTTTGCTCTTGCCCTTCAACTTTTGTCTCTAGCCGCACCCAGGCTTTAATACCTGCAAACTGGAAAGAGACAAGAAATACACAGCTGAGGTGTGCAGCTGGCAAGATGTTCCCCCAACTAATGATATCATTCATCTGCACAAAAATTCTGTCTGATCTTTAGTTCTCCCAGTTAGGTGTAGCTGTGTCTTTATTTTTGATGAAGAGGATATTCTGAGCGATCCTATCTGGCGAGTGAGCAAAGAATAAGAAAACAGATGTGATGGAAGCTGCTTTCTGGATGTTTTCCCTGTCCTTGGGCATCTCTCTTTTCCCACTCTCTGGGAGGCTTCTCCATTAGGGCAATTAATTTGCCTTTGTCTGGGAAACATCTAGCTGTCCTGTAAAACTTCCATAACCACAAATGGCCCTGCATCTTAAAGCACTTAAGTGAATTAATATTTTTTTTATGATACATTGGGGTGTGTTGCAAGGAATACTGCATTGTATGTATGGTAAGATATACTACCCAGCTGTCTGCTCCAATCCTGCCTAGCAGGAATAGGACGACCCCCCCCCCCTTTTGCACACCAGTAGAGTTAAAATAATTACAGGGTCTGCATATATAGGGCTGAGCTTAAGCCCATGTGAGCTGTTGCGGGGGGGAGGCCATAGAGGAATGTTCTGGGCAAGGGCTGCAGGAGCTCGTGGGAACTATTTAGTATGCCATTAGCACAAGCCTCTTTAAGCGATTCCCATCTGTTGGAAGAGAGGTTAGCAGAAGCAGCTCTGGGTGGGTCCTTGTCAGCACTGGGCTGGGAGGAGGGGAAAGAGCCCTGAAATGTGAAGATGGCCGACGAGCCATTCATCATTTCTTTGTGGCAAGATTTTTTCTTAATGGCATTCCCTGTTCATTGTGCAAGCTGAGCCCACCCCAGCACTTAGCTGAATTAAAAATTGATTCTTTTTTCTCTCTGCTTTGTTATTGCTAAATAATCATGTAAAAGCTCGCCTATAAATTGTGTGCATTTGGAATGGGCATTTTTTCCTTTTCTGGGGTTTTTCTTTCTTTCTTTCTTTTAACTCTAGCTGTCACCCTTTCCCAAGATGAATGCTAGACTGTGCTGAATTCTCAAATATCCAGTTCTGGTCCTGGTGAAAAGATACTCCAGGCTGGACAAGTGAGTTGATGCTGCTGTTCCTTCGCCACCACTACCCCTCCTTTTTCTTTTCGTTCTCTCTCATGACAGGACCTGCACGCTAAACTGCAGTCGCTCGGCAAGGTGGACTCCTCGAGCTTGTTGATGTTGACCACGCAGCTTGTTGAGGAAAAGCGGACGAGATTTGAAGAGGAGGACCTTGCAAAATACGAGCAGAAGCTGAAGGGATGGGAACAGGAGCGGGCAGTTCTGATGGAAAGGGAGAGAGAAATGAGAGAAAAGGCCCGGCAGGAGCTTGAAGCCCGGAAGGCTGCAAAGGCCGCAAAAGCTTCCCTTTAATCTTCCCTGTTAAAGACTTTTGTTAGGCTCCCTTTTCTCCTGGCTGTAAAATGAAGAATGTGCTTTTATGAAGGTTGCCGAGTAGCCCCGTCGTGATATGGTCTTGACTATCTTGCAGATTAAATATTTCTGGATCCCTCTTGCAAGACTGTTCATTTCCTCCCCTCTTTTAGCCTGTAATTATGATTGCTCCTTTTGTCTGTGTTGTGTCTGGAGCGAAGATCTGTCATGTAATAGAATGCTTCGTTTCTAAAACAAGCTTGGAGAGACAGTATGCAAAATGCTATTGCCACAGTATTTGTTATCGTGCTGTTGTGTTTTTTTTAAAGTTACTACCAATATTTCACATTTTTCCTACTAATATTTTAGGTTCTGGCCACATTCCCCTCCCCTCCTAGTTTAGGGGTTCACATATAGTTCTCCCTAGATCTATTAACAGCTAATAACCTTGATAACTAAAAATGGAATTTGCTCATTTAGAGGCACTGTACCTTGATTAATAGGGGTTTTCTATGTCATGCTCTGTTTGGAAAGTTTTCCAGGGGCTTCTGGCTAGCCAACAGCTGTGGAGAAAATGCTGGCCTGAATGGACCACTCGTTTAATCTGGCATACAGTTTTTTATGTTCTTTCACAGCAGACACAAACAGAAGCTTCCAAAGCACATGCAATGTGATGCACCTGCAGATCAATTTCTACCATTTCCTTGGCTGCTTCCCCTCCTGCTTTGGCTACCCATTCCTGTCAGCTCTACAGTTTCTGTGAAACATAAACATATGGTAATCTTGTACGGGACTATTGTGATACATGTACTCGAAACTGATTTTTGCCCTAGAAGAGCAGCTTGACTGCTGAATGGTGCATCTAACTGCTGTGTTGCATCTTAATACTGAGGGGTATTAATACTTAATACTTAAGACGACTGAGGGGTGACATGATTGAGGTTTACAAGATTATGCATGGGAAAGAACAGGTAGAGAAAGAGGTACTTTTCTCCCTTTCTCACAATACAAGAACTCGTGGGCACTCCATGAAATTGCTGAGCGGTCGGGTTAGAACGGATAAAAGGAAGTACTTCTTCACCCAAAGAGTGATTCACACATGGAATTCACTGCCACAGGAGGTGGTGGAGGCTACAAGCATGGACGGCTTCAAAAGGGAATTAGATAGGCATATGGAGCAGAGGTCCATCAGTGGCTCTTAGCCACAAGGTATAGATAGGGGCTCTGGGGCAAGTGGTGCTCTGTCTTCTTGGTGCTTGGGGGGGCCAACAGTGGGAGGGCTTCTAATGTCCTGGCCCCACTGGTGGACCTCCTGATGGCACCTGGTATTTCTGGCCACTGTGTGACACAGAGTGTTGGACTGGATGGGCCTTTGGCCTGATCCAACATTGGCGTCTCTTATGTTCTTATGTATTCCTGTTGTGAGAGCCACTATGCCATAGTGGTGAGTTTTGAACTTGGTGTTGGGAGACCTGGGTTCAAAGCCTCATTCTACCATGAAGTTTGATGGGTGACCTTGGACCAGACACACACTCTTTGGAGACACGCCACCCTCAGTCCTTGGAGAGGAAGGATGGGATAAAATCACACTATGTGAATAGATTGTGGGACTGGATGTGAAATGGAGCCATTCTGAACTGACAAAATCAGGTTTAGTTAGTTTATTTTTGACAGGACCAATACGGTCCTCTGTTTAACTGCTGTTGACTTTTATATTGTAAACAGTCCTGAGACCTGTTAGAAAGGAATAAATAATAAATAATAATAAATCGGATTACTCCTATAATATGTGAATTACAGCCACTTGAGCTGCTGTGGGTCCCAAAAATTTGTAGCATATGCTTTCACATGCTTTGTAGGTTGCATCATATCAGTCGCTGACATTAAAAAATATGTTTGGCCTTCCACCATTTTGTTTTGCGCAGAAGGTACATATCTGCCTGCTATGGTGGGATATAAATATGTTAAATAATAGATCGGATTACTCCTATAATGTGTGAATTACAGCCCCTTGAGCTGCTGTGGGTCCCAAAAATTTGTAGCATATGCTTTCACATGCTTTGTAGGTTGCATCATATCAGTCGCTGACATTAAAAAATATGTTTGGCCTTCCACCATTTTGTTTTGCGCAGAAGGTACATATCTGCCTGCTTCTCTTCATATCTCCATCCTTACGTTACAAATTTGCAGTCTCCTATCTCCTGCAGACGAAATCAATTTTGCCTGTTCTAGTTGTCCTCTAGTCCAGAAAACTCTTGTTGCTCTCTGTCCAAGACCCTGTATCTTTCTTATTCTAGGCTTCCTGGAAATCTGGTCCAAGAGATCCCTCAAATGTTCTCTTCTTTGGTTAATGGCTTCCTGAGTTGTTGTGTTAAGTATGATGAGAGGAAGAAGAAAAGTAAGTTTTTATACCCCACATTTCTCTACCTTAAGGAGTTTCAGTGGCTTACAATCACATTCCCTTCCTCTCCCTACAACAGTCACCTTGTGAGGTAGGTGGGGCTGAGAGAGTTCTGAGATAACTGTGACTGGCCCAACATCCCCCAGCAGGCTTCATGTGGAGGAGTGGGAAATTAAAACCTAGAGATTAGAATCCACTGCTCCTAACCATTACACCATGCTGACTATATAGGGCTGAACCTTCATAGAATCATAGAATGTTAGAGTTGGAAGGGAACTTGCAGGTCATCTAGTCCAACCCCCTGCACTCTGCAGGAGCATAGCTGAAAGATAGCCCTACATACCTACAACATACCCGAAAGATGGTCATCCAGCCTCCGCTTGAAAACATCCATCACCTCCCGAGGCAGACTGTTCCACTGCTCAACCACTCTTACAGTTAGGAAGTTTGGTTCTGTGGCACAGAGAAAGCTCCTTAGTATGTCAAGATTTGAACATACTTGTGGTTTTAATATAGGGAATTATATATGTTATTCCAGTACACTGGACGAGGTTGTAGTCAGGGCCGGCTCACTCACTAGGTGAACTAGGCATTCGCCTAGAGCGCCACGGCCCTTAGGGGCGCCAAACTGCACCCACTCCCCGCCAAAAGCACTCCTGCTGGCTCTGACGGGGGGCGCATGGGGGGGTGCCAGAAGGGATCCTCGCCTAGGGTGCAAAATATGCTGGGGCCGGCCCTGGTTGTAGTGTATCCCTTACTGGTTCCCAGCTGTTCTAGCGGGCTGGGATAAGCCATTATAAATCAGCATGGTTTTATGCAGAACTGAGAACTGGCTTCCTACTTGGAAAACAGGATATTCCAGGTGGGAAGATTCCTGCCCTTCTGCAATAAAGGCAAGGGAGATGACTAGAGTGACAGTGAAGACTTGTGACAAAACCAATAAGACATGGTTGAAAGCTCATTTTAAAGTGTACTCCGTGGCACTGATGGCAGCAAAGAAACAATACACATCTGCCACTATTGCATCTGCACAATGGAGCAGTGCCAGGTGGTCAGACACCTGTTGGGATCTAGCCAGCAGGAGGAGATAGACTGCTTGGTGGTCCACTGTGACCATTTTGCAGATATCTCTTGCACCTGTTCTGACTTGGACTGTACATTAGCAGTGACAAGTTCAGATGGTGCCAGGGTGCTGACTTGGCCACCTGTTTGGGATACGTTTAAGTTTATTCGGCCTGAGGATGTGGGCAGGACCCTTGGAAGTTGAGGCATGCCATCTGCTTTTTGGCTACCTAAATCTGCCCGGCGGGGTGTGTGTGTGACTGACTAGGTCCAAGTTGTAGTTAATATATCCTTGAGAAAGGGGGTGGTTGTTCCACTCTTCCCACAGGCTGTGGTGCATCCACTTCTAAAGAACCTAACCAGTCTCCAATGTTCCATTCTTGAGCAAGGTGATTGAATGGGTGGTGGCTAGACAACTTCAAGTAGTCCAGGGTGAAGCGGATTGTTTGGGTGTTTTCCATTCTGATCTTAGGCCTGCTTATGGGGCTTGTGCCTGTGCCAGGAGATGGACAGAGGAAGTGCAACCATTTAGCAGCTTTCAATATTATCAGTAATAATATCCTTCTGGACCACCTTTTTGGGCTGGGATTGGGAGGCACCATATTGCAGTGGTTCTGGTCCTACGTGGAGAGTAGGTTTCAGAAGTTGTTGCTGGGGAGTGCTGCTCAAGCCTTTGACCTAAGGTGTCCTGCAAGGTTCCATCTTATCTCTTGTGCTCTTCTATGTCTACATGAAACTGCTGGGTGAGATAATCGAGCGGTTCGGGCTGGGTAGTCACCAGTTTGCGGATGACACTCAGCTTTATCTTGTGCTTCCAGTACCCTCATATCTTCTCCCTCTCCATGCATTCAGTGAATACCCAGAAGGGTCATGTAAGCTAGTTTGGTGTAGTGGTTTAGAGCAGCAAACTCTGATCTGGAGAGCCAAGTTTGATTCCCCACTCCTTCACATGAAGCCAGCTGGGTGACCTTGGGTCAGTCACAGCTCTCTCCGCAGAGCGCTCCGACCTCACAGGGTGTCTGTTGTGGGGAGGGGGAGTGAAAGAGATTGTAAGCCACTCTGAGACTCCTTCAGGTAGAGAAAAGAGGGGTATAAAAACCTACTCCTCTTCATGTGAAAGGGACAGAGCATCAGCTTGGCCTGCAACGAACTACCACCAGGGTCAGTTGAAAATCTGGCAGTCCTCATAAACTATAGTTTCCTGTAATTTCTATGCAAGAATCTGACAGTTTGTTCTAGAAAATTATCCTAATGTCTTACTAGTGAATAGGTTGGGTTATATGTGTGTTTAGCTTGTTCCAGGAGTAAACCAAAAAAGGTTGAGGAACAGGATTATTTTTAGTTAGATTTTAATACAAAACAATCCTGTTCCTCAGCCATTTTTGGGTTCCTGGTAGTAGGTTTATTTTCACCTTTTGGGGTTATTTCAAGCACCTATGTCAAGGAAGTGACTCTTAAACTAGTGTGCATTACTGCCTCTAGAATATCAAGGTTTGTAAGGGAAATCACAGTGCAGCATGAAATTTGAAAATGAGAAAATAATTTCAGGAGAGAACAGTCTAAGGTTTATTTTTAACTTGATTCCCCCCTCTAAAGAATCCCCCACCCGGCAAACATCCCACAGTATGAGCAGTCAGCATATTGTCCATGGAACCCTTCCAATAGGACTTTGTGGTTTTGTATACACAATGCACATCTTGCAGAGTGAATGATGCTGAATATCTACATTGCTTCCTGCTTTCAAAGAGCCCCTTTGAATTAATCTGTAGGCAGCTCCTGATGGGAGATCTTGTGTGGCCAAACTTGGAAAAGATCAGCCACATTGGAAGGGTTAAATTTGTTTCATTTGAAATGCAAATTGCTGATTCAAATTCACAGCAGACACCAAATACTTTAATGAGTAGGTAAGCAAATATGCAACTCTCCCTTTCCTTTATTATTTACACTTTCAGTCCCATAGAAAAGGTCACTATCCATTATTCACTAGAGCAAATTACACAGTTACTTCCAGCTTGGATGGAATGTTGCACAGTGCTTTACTGTCCTTGAATCTAGATACAGTAATGCAGCTGGTAGAAGAACACTAATAAGTATATTCACATTCAAGTCAGAACAGGGTGAACAGAACGTTTGGGCCTCTAGGCTAGCTGGGTGAAAAAACAGTATGGCTTAGGTGTGTTGGACTAATTAATTTACATGGTGGTTCTGCTGGAGAAAGTGTTGACTGATCCATATTAGTTTGGGGGCAGGGATTCAATTTGCATTTGTCCTTTAAACCAATGTTAGTTTAAGGGTATCCATTAAAAAACACCTTACCCACTGGTCTTTTCAGTTTAGGTTTCACCTTATGGAGCCCTCAGAC